ATTTGGGACCCAGGAAATATATCCAAGAACATGTTTTATTGTCAAATATAGACCAAGTCCGTGTTCCAGCAAATTCATTCAGTGCAAAGTAGAGTGTATTGTGTGATACATATTGTATAATTGTAGTTTTTGTTCAGCCACATTATTATTTACCTTTTTAGTTAATTTTTAATAATGTATGCAAAAGTTGTGATTTTCTATACTTTTTGAAATGTTTTTTTTTGTCTTTTTTTACTGTAATTTGTCATAAAAGGCATAGATAAAATTATAAATAATATTCAAAAGTTCTTTAAAGTTCTAATAAAGAAAAAAATACCTACTTCTTGAAGTCAATCAACAGCAAATTTTTATTTTTAGGTGACCTATCCCTTTAAGCCCATGCAAAGTTGTTGATGACAACTACAACTGTTTTTTTTGTTTTTTTTCTCAAATAGTGACATGCAGATGTGACATTTTGTGCATACGAGGGCCCTTACGTTCAGTTTTAAAAGCATCACGTTGCACTTGTCACTTACGTGATGACAACGGGGGCCACCTTGTTTGTGATGATGGACTTGGTTTTGCTGTTGCGAATGTTCACAGACTGTAGTAAGCGCCTGTGCTCTGCCATGCCGTTCCCTTGGTGATCAGCCTGGTGTGTAGGTGAAAACGGAGCAGCCTGGGAAGTTGCACTGGCGCTCGTACCCATAATCTGCACAGAGCTGGAACGAGGATTTATACTGTGACTAATATAAAGTAAACAGCCAGACACGTTAGTCATTTTACATGGGGTTATTTCGAACGTTGGCACTTTTTAAAGGGCCAGAAGCACCGCTAAGATTCAATTTCCCTTTCTCTCAAACCAAAACACATGTAAAGCACTATAAAATCCCATAATAAAACATATTACTGAAGCTTTATAATTTCACAGAATATATCCCACACAGTAAAAGGAAGTCAGACAACAACAAATTGCATGTGCATAGCATTTCTCTCATGTTATTTGGTTTTTAAATGAATGCCTTACGGTCTCACAGCTGTGCCGCGTGTGTTCACATCCTTTGGTTTTTGCATCTTAGTTTCAGCAAGAGCTCGGGTCACTCTTTAAGTGTAAATCCTGTCAAAACGAATGCAGTTTCCTGCAGGATCTCAACAATAAAAGCCTTTTGTTTTAACTCAAAAGACCTAGCGATGTTTTGCTAGTCTCTTTTCTTCTCTCTCTCTTGTTCAGTGACTCTCTGGTTCTCTTCTCACAGTGACAGGATAGCAGTTCCAACCCTTTTGGGGGCCACAGAGAAATACAGTACATCTGGCAACCAGACGACAGTGTGGGCGGCTCCAGACAATCGCAGGGACAGCCCATGCAAAGGCCACGACGGAAAGCCAAAAGTGAGAGGAAAGAGTGCAAGATCAAACATTTCTGATGCCTTTGCATCTAGCGAAATCAGCTGGAAATGTTGGATGTCAGAGTAATGAAGCAAACCTAATAGTCTCCATGGATTTCAGCGATAATGCAGTTAATTAAGCTAATCCTGTATTTTTTCTTTTACATCCCTTTATAAGATCAAGTTTGTGCCAGATAGATATCACTGGGAAATATATGACAGGTCTGCAAATGCCATTAGGACATTCCTGCTTTATGTTTATATAACTGGCTGGTCCATTGAAAGTTTGGGATACTGAGTTGCTGGCACTAAAACCAATGCTTCCCTTTTCAGGGGCTTGATTTAAATTCCAGTTGTGTCCGAGCATCACGGTCACAGAACAAAAAAACAACACCAAAAAAATCTCTAAATATGGATGGGAAAGGCCCCGGGATGCATTTGTACAACACTGCACAGATCAGTGAACAGATATGCAGTGAGTGGGAGTGAGCAGTGATTGGCACATCCTCATTCATGCTGAGAAACGAGCAGCTTTAAAAACGACCAGCGTTCAAGCATTGAGCTTTCAATCAACATCACATTCAGAATATGAAAATGTTGAAACAAGGAAGACACAATCTGTGTAAAAAAAAAAAAAAAGGCTGCAATGCCAACAATTTTTAAAATGCATGAGGTCAATCAAACCAGGGATCTCTAACATTGATTTTTTTTTTGTTTGTTTGTTTACAGATGGATTTAAGCTTTTGTGGTAACTATAAGAAAGTTACGATGTTGTAAGTCTATTCTAAAACAAATAAATTATATGGTTATGACAAACAATATTAGTGAAGTGCTAGGTAGATAACTAGTAATTGTAGACTACTAGGAAATGTCATAGTGTAAATAATCAGACTGCTTTTTTGATTATTTTCGAATTACTTTTAACCAAACCTTTCTCTAAAATTATAATTTTGTAACATATTAATCTAAGAAATCTAAAACAGAAAAAAAGCACATTAAACATCAAGAGTGCTAAGCATATATAAGTACATCCCTGCCTAATATATCTTTTAAATTCATATTTTAATATACACTATTATATTTGTGCATATACATTAGATTAGTCAGTACTGAAGCCAAATCTGGAGCTTATCTTACAAAATAACTTACGATAACGGTCCAAAAACTAGTACACCCAAATTTACATCTAATAGAAAAATATTAAATACAATTTTTTTTTTTAAAAAAAAAGAGGAAAAAATCATAAGAAACTAACAGATTTTTTTAAAAATTGAAATTGTGCAGTTTGTTTTTTTTTTTCAATAATTTGAAATATTTAATAATAAATAAATAATAATATTTTATAGTTTAATTGTATTATCTTTCAATTTCTAAATATGTTTGGTGACTAAAATATAATTTTAATGAATATATCTGTTTTATGAATCTGTTTAAATGCACCATAATACATTGCATATATTCACTGAGAAATGGAAATTAATAAAAATATCTATTTTCAAAATGGGGTGTGCTCAATCATGCTGATTTGGTTACACGTTATTTTAAGTGCCATTAAGTAGCATGTACGTACATTTGAATTAATAATTCGATACAATGCATTTATTATGTACATACAATTTGGAGGTAATTATATCTGTAACTCATTTCTGTAATTAAATGTATAATTACACTCTTATTATACAAGTTATATACACACTTAAGCTAATATTATTCAGGCGTGATCTCATTTGGTGTTTTTCTAGTTAATTTCACAAGTAAAGGTTAACTGTTAACTTTTATGTATTCTCAAAAACTGTAGTCAAATTACTAGCAATGTTGTTTATTCAGGGTTCTACTTGGGCTATTGTACAACAGCGAAAGATTTTCATTTGTTTATTGAGGAATTTAAAGTCTGACTTGATTAGTTTTATTAATGAAGAATATTATGCATTATCAGATACTCTTTCATAGGGATCAGTCGAGAGGAGATCATTCACTCAATCGATTCTTTAAAAAAAATAATTTAGCATCATAGAAAATATTCAGGAAATTTTACAGTCGATTTGATTTATCTCGAATGATGTCAGAGTTTAATTTGTTTAAGTGTATTTGTAAAGCCTACTGAAAATATGAATTCAGTAGGCTATACTGTATATAAAAACAACAAATGCATAACTGTAAAAAACAGATCTTGTGCATCATAGAAAATAATATTTAGAAAAAAATAAAGTTGATTTGATTTCTTCATGTCAAATGGTGTCCGAGATTTTTACATTTCTTTTTACTTTAAAAGTTATTTTAAAAATATTACATAAAAATAAAGTGCTATTTCCAAAAACAGAGTTTTGTGCAATGACCAGGATGTTTTTCTGAACATGTTGGTATTTGTTTTATTGTATAATATCATATGGTTGATTTGTTTAATTCATTAACATGGCTGATTTTATTTTATTATCGAGAAATTAAGCCTTGTGCAACATAAATGGCACATATTTATGTATTTTTGACGTAATTTTGGCTCGAGCTATAACAGGAGCAAATAATTGAATTGATTAACCTAATGTCTATGTCAAACGTCAATGTCTAACTTTACCGCGGTATTTCAGCTGTGCATTTTTGATAAGATAAACACATTAAGTTCAGCCAAGCAATCAAATGACATAAATATAAATAAAAGTACGAATTTTCCTGTCTAGAAGACAAGGCAAGGAAAAAGTAAAAGCTATAAAAAGTTTCCTTACCTGCCGCTCTGTCAGACACCTGTCAGGACCTGACAGACACAATTAAACAGTGAACAAGAGCATTTCCAGGTCACACTCATCTTAAGCCCTGTCAGTTAATGCCCCCAAAAAAACATGCAGGCAGGTGTCCGTCAAACAGAGCGAGACTCGACCTCTTCCAGCACTGCGGATAGGAAACACATGGGAAGAGAAGAGGACAGAACGGCCACCTCCTCCACAGCAATAAATGTTATTTGAGAGAATGTCAGTGGGTGGCTTCTCATCTTTTCACCAGTCAGCTTCATCTCCCAGCAACAGTGCCACAAACATGCCTGAATTGCTGAAAAACCTGAGGTACTGATATTTGCGCTGATATTCAACATTGGTAAAACTTTCGTGTGATGTGTAGTGCATTGCCAGTATAGAAATGCTGGGTAAAAATATTGCAAAAATATTTTGAGGCATTTAATTCTTTAGTGTTTACATTTTACTGCCACTGTGCCCAATGTCTTTCACTGCATTGAAATCAGCCTCTGCTTTAACTACTGGTGTGAAGTGGACATTGTGTTGCCATGAGTTTCCAAGCAACCGAGCTCACTTCACATCAGGCATTCATGTACTGTAATAAGGGCTTCAGGCTGGAGACAAGAAGAATAGACACATTGAAACGCCCCTTTAGTCTAACACTTTACTGAACACTTTGGATTAAGCTATACGTTACTGAGTTAAAACTGTAAATTATATTTAGAAATAAATCCTCAAATACTTTATTCACAAAACTAACTTGGGGGTAACCTAAATCTTTTTTTTCCACAAAACAGCGCTGTCCCCATACCCCAGTACTCCATCTAGTGGCAACCCTAGTTATTTCACATCTAAAGGGTTGTTTACATTGCATTCAACCATAGTAATCAGTTGTAAGAGAAGACAAACAGAGTTGATATCAAGGAACTTTAATTGCTGTAATAGTGTCCACTGGCATTGGCATTTCATTAAAATTAACAGGGTCAAAGAAGAAAGAAAATACAGTTTCCAATGTTTTTTGCCATATTAGATAAAACACGTCCATCTTAAATCCCCTCACACAGAACTAAATGCATTTCTGATAGTTTGATGCGTGGGGAAAGCATAAAGCAATAGTAAGCATTATTTTTTTTTAAATAAAAAAATTTAACATTTCATAATTTTAGAGTTGAAACAAGCTGGAATTTGACCATTCATATCCATTACAGAAGGACAGTATACACCAATTTCCCTTCACTGTAAATCATTAGAACTTGAATGTGACTTTTGCGCAAACCGGACATGAAAACATACTCCAAGGATTTTACAAGTTCTCAAAATTGAATAGAAACTTAACTGTGACCTCAAAGTCAAACCTAAATTCTGTATTTGCTTTTAACCAATCCATTACTATTACAAATATTACACCTCTGCATTTCCAAATCGTCCCATTTCTGTAAGAAAGTAAATGATAACAAACATGTTTCCAAAAATATAAATGTTTTCTAGTAAAACAGCAATATCTTGATCTTGTTCTCCACTTGAAAGAAACGAAAGAAAGGAACTGATCCCGTTTTAAGGTATGAAAGGGTACTGTATTTGACACAGCTGCTCAGCTTAGTAAAGTAAGGCATGGATACGGAGGCTAAGCACAAGAGATCACTGTGAGAGGAAAAAATAAATCATTCTGTGCCTCAGACAAAGACTGGAGCACAGAAAAAGACAATTAAAGTCATGAGAATAAGTCTTATCCTCTTTAAGTCACTTTGTTTGAATAATCTCTTTGCTTAATTCTCTTACAATAATAATTCTCGTCTTCCACACGATTTGGCGTCCCCCCCCAAAAACAACAACGTTAAAATGATCTGACATGTGAACTAAAGCTTAAGAAGCAGACCGAAAGAACATGCATAGAAGAGCATTGGAAAGATTCAATTCAAGTTTTCGAGACGTTTGATCTGAATCAAAATGAATGTCTGCTCGCGACAAAACTCGTTCACATTGTGTGCGCTTATGAGACAGACCGATGGTACGATGACCAAAACAACACTTCAGTGCTTTCCTACCTTTGATTTGATTATCAAGGTTCGTGAGGATTGTAGTATTTCGGAAAGTAACAGCAGATGTCACAGCTGATATTAATGTTAAATATTCACCGTGCTTTTTCTCCCGTAACAGGAGCCGTAAGATGCGTAATTGTTAGGTGCATAAAGCAAGTGCTTCCTGAGACCAGCTTTCTTTGTCAACATCTTATAAGGTATATTAAACCCTTTATCCAATCAAACATTACTTGGTGTTATTAACTTTTAACTAGGCTATGTTGACGCTTCATCTCTCAAAGACAAACAAAGAAACAAACCTTACTGTTAGCAAAATAAATCTGAACAGAAACATTCTCTTTAATCTAAAGTAACAGTTTGGTCTTTCACGAATGTGATTAGGTGTTTCTTTTCTTAAAATTAACAGTGAAAAAACTGGGAAATTAAACTAATATGACCTGAAATGCTTATTTTGGGGTAGTCCTAAATAAAATGAGAAATTCTGTGCACATTTGGCATTGAAATCATGTGTCAGTTCAAATGAATGATTAAGGTCAATGGTTTAATTATGCATTTTTGGACAATAATATAAAACTATTCTTTTGAACACCTGAAAAATGTATTGAGGTGAAAAAAAAATGATATAAAAGAGCAGGAATGATTGGAATTTTTTCACTTTTTGAATCAAAAAATATGAATATAATCCTGTTGTCCCTTTTAAAATTAACTGGGGGAAAAACAATCGAAAATATAGGGAGATAATGATAACCGCATGTCCTGCAAATCAGTTTATGTGTGAACGAAATAGACTGCATTAAGGGCATCAACTGGAACAGTGTACTTTGATCTATCAGCAGTGAATCTCTAATGGCTGATCCGTTTATGAGTCTATTATGGTAAATTGGTAATATATCCGGGCACTTGCAATAGAGAATTTTTCCCTTGCTCTGTGACTCAAGCAAGTACTGCTGATGGCAGCCCTGAAACCTAAACAACAAAAAAGAAGAGCTCAACAGGGCTCACAGGTTAACTTTCAGGGCTCCAGCAACACCACTGGGCAAACTTTAGTCATTTATCCCCATGATTAAACAGCACCCAGCAGCTAGAGAGAGCTAAAGGAGAGGGCTCACAACATTGGTATCTACAAGCCAAGCCACTGGCACACAGGTACCAGGTAATTAATCGTTGTTCACGTAGGTTCCTCTTCTTTAGATGTCCATCTCAAACTGAGCATCTTCACCTGTAACACAGACACACACAAAAAGTGTCATGCATGACCACTAAAAGACAATAGTGTTAGGCAACATTACTCTGATTCATGTCTGTTTGTGTACACAAGATGAAGCACAAAGCAGGGAGGTTCCAGTGGAAACGGTTCCAGTTCGGTCAGTTTGAAAGACTAACCTTGCCCTGGCTTGGCATCATGGTTGTTGATGTTGTTCGCTTCATTCCGCTTGATTTCATTCAGGATGTTCTTGCCCGTCACTCCTGGGATAACCGGCAGGTGCGCTGGTGGGGTCTGGGCGATGGGGGAGTTACGCCGGTCCAACAGGAACTTACGATCATAGATTATTCGGGTTCCTGCATTGTCATAAATAAATATATTATGTTATGATTCTGTTTTAATATACAGCTTCCAAAGTAGCACTTTTTTCCCTATGGAAGACTATAAATTAACCTCAACCTAAAGCAATCTGACACATTTTGCTTTGCAGTAATAATATGTAAGCAAATTATATGGGGTTGAGAATATGGGTGAGAAAATTATGATGATTTTAATGGGATTATTAATGGTTTTAATGAAGCTCATGTCCCAATTAGGGTGAGCTACACATTAAAAAAAAAATTATATTTTTGCTACTTCTGCATCTTTTAAATCAATTTTATAAAAAAACATTGCATGAAAGATTTTAGCTAATAATAATAATATTAATAATAATACTGTCATCCTATACACATTACTTGTACCAAGCCTGTATGAGTTTTGCTTACTGTTTAACACAGGAAATGCTGGTAACTAAAATGTTAATGTTAACCGTTGACTTTACGTGATTATACATGTCATTGGTTAGCATGGTTTCTGGTTATTCTTTGAAATATTTTCCTTGTTTTTTTATACAGTACTTCTTCATTTTTTTTTGTGAACTATCCTTTTAAAGTTTGAATAATAGGATTCTGAAATAACTTTAATGTGCCCTCTTGGTCACTTCATAATTCTTTTTTAAGTTACAAATATTCACAATATGTTAAATCAAGATTTAGTTACTTGAGAAGCATTATTACATGTTATGAGAGGGAAAGTGAGGAATTGAGAGGAACAACACTACGCAAGTCAATGTGTGCCAGCTACCAGCATTTTTCAAAGTATCTTTTTTTTGTGTTTATTAGAAAAAAAACTCAAATGGCGAAAGATGAGTAAATGATGAAAGAATTTTTAATTTTGGGCTGTCCCTTTAAGCATGTTTATACTGCAAAACAAAAATACTTGCTTGCAAGTAGGCATTGGCTAGTATAAGATTCTAATGGTATGATAACCTTGGATAAAAACATCACGGTTTTACAGTAATGTGATTTCTGCTCCAAAATATATTCTTATTAAACGTCTGGGTTAAAAAAAATAATAATAAAAAAATGTATTCTGTTTTAAAAGCAATGGCTGCATCTGAAATTGCATGCTTACATACTATATAGTACGCTAAAAACAGTATGCAAGCCGATTCATAGAATTTGATAAACAGTATGCGAGTAGTACCTGGATGACCTACTACTTTCGCCGAGATTCTAAAGTGCACATTCAATGGACACGACGCTATCCCATGATACACTGCGAGAATATTCATGAAAGTGAAGCAGGTCTGTCATGTGATGATGACAAAATGAACCCCGTACTACATCCAAGCTCATTCATACTACTCACATTCATACTGCATAGAACATACTATTCTATTGATTGAGTAGTAAACTTTTATTTAAATGCAGTACCTAATGAGTAGTCTGTGATTTTGCACGCAGCCAATATATTTTATTATGCAAAACATTTGAAATATTTTGGAACATGTCAGGTTAAATAATTCAAATGAATCATTGACTCCTGCTGTGTTTATTAGTGTCAAAAACACAGATTTCTTTACAATTTAAAACCATATCTTTCAATCTCTTATCTGCTGGAGAAACTGTTGTCCTAAAAACAACAACAGCAACAAAAACTTTGAAAAAATTATTGCATATACTGTAGGGAAGGTGTAACAAAAAAATGTTTTGGCGGTTTTAAAACCTTGACTTTTCCAAACTGTGATATACCTTGAAAACCATTATTGTCCCATGCCTACTTGCAAGAGTTCATGCCTAAATTTGAATCCATTTCAAATCCTTAAATGGTGAACCAAGACTTTTTAGATCCTGCAGAAATCCTACATACATACACAGAACATCCTACATGCATACATATGCATGCATACACAAATAGGCACAAATATATGCAAACATATTGTTGATCTATATATCAATTAAGATGACAATTGATATAGTATATTTCATTATTACTATACATATCCTTATGTGCGTTTAATGTCCTACATTCCTTTGTTCTGTCCTGTTCTGTCAATCAGTCACTGCGGACCAATCATGTTGATCATATCGACGCACAGGCGGCGCTGTTTTTGTTTTGAACTACATGGCTGTGTCTCAAAAACCTAGTACGCTGCCTACCTAGTATACATATTTAAACCATGTCCGTTTTAAAAGTCTTAGCGTTTTTGACCATCATTACACTGTTTACATGCAAACTAAACGAAGGTTACAGCGAGAACCCTATAATGCTATCTAGGCAGGTGGAACACTAGGTTTTAAGACACAGCCGTTTTATGTGGTTACGGCTTCCTGGCCAACACAGGCCAACCATTATTACACGATCTCCCTGCAAACAGCTGCATATTTAAGGGCTCGTCTCGCTTTATTACCTCCCGGGGTGGTGGAGAATAAAGTGCCTCCAGGAGTGGTGCAATAGTCGTGAGGTAGCTGCGTTGAGTCGTTGATCAGCACCGTCCTGGTCGGGATGGCCCTGCTCTCACTAAGCTGACGACTGGACGACATTGCACTTGCTTCGGGTGCTAATCAGAGTCGAGCGATAAGTTTTCCCCGATGGAAGGTAAAAACCTCGGGCCCTTTCCCCTCGTTTCTTATCGCTTTCCCAGGGCTTTCTTCACGTTCAGCTCGTCCTCCCAGCCGTCAGCACCGACCCCTCCCTCCGCCAGGCAGGAAGCGAAGAGCGCTCGGAGGATATGACGTCAGGGAAGAATTACGTCGATTCAACGCCCACAATTTGTTTTACTCAACATTTTTGATACCAGTCAATGAGTTTTTACTGCAAAATAACTTATAAGGATAAAATTAAATATTGTTGACTCAAATGTATGCTAGTTTTGTAACCTAGACATTAAAAAAATTATACACTTGTTTTTCCGATGTAAATTGGTACAAACATTTTGGGACAAAAATTAGTTTGGGTTTGGATACATCAGAAAACATCTGCAAGACTTATCTTCTCATAGGAAATTATTAAGTTTAACGTAATGCTTAAAGATAAAAAGATAGATAATGAATTTGTTGATATTATTGCAATTTTATATTCATAAATTTTTATATATTTTTTTAATTTCCCCAAGACTATGGGTGTTTAAAGGAGAATCTGATATATATATTTAAAGACATTAAAAGAGATGAAAAGCCAACAAGAAAGATATTTATGTTCATCATTTGAGGATTTTGGTTGCATATTGTGAGAACTTCAACTCCCCTGTTTTGTATTTTTCTGTATCATTTATTTTATTTGTTATTTATTTGTTTATTTATATATATATATATATATATATATATATATATATATATATATATATATATATATATATATATATATATATATATATATATATATATTTTTTTTTTTTTTTTTTTTTTTTTATTATTTTATTTATTTATTTATTTTTTTCCAGAGATGGGTTGCAGCTGGAAGGGCATCTGCTGCGTAACACATATGCTGGATAAATCGGCGGTTCATTCCGTTGTGGCGACCCCAGATTTATAGGGTAAATCTGAAAAGAAAATGAATGAATACATGAATGCTGTATTATTGTTATTATTATTATTAGTAGTAGTAGTAGTAGTAGTAGTAGTATTCATGTTATTGAGGATGGGAGGATTGTGAATGCAAATTGTTTGTTATCTCAGTAAAAATTATTCAGATTTTTCAAAATTCAATAATCACATTTGTGATCATATCACATAAATAATGTTAAATAAATACGTTGATTTAGTCTGGACTTCGTATAGATTACTGAACTCAGTTTAACCTCGTAACCTTGTTTATTTCACAATATTGAAAAAACACATTGTGTGATATAAGAGGACTTTTGCTTGCTTTTTTTCTGCAAGATTTAGTTTTTTTAACATAATTAAAATTATTTTATATTAATTTCTGTTCTTATTTTACTTGATAGGGATTGTTTTTTATAAACTTAACTGTCAGTTTAAGAATTTTTTACATTTTTCAAAATTCAATAATAACATCTGTGATCACATCATATCAAATAAATAACAAATTAATACCATTAAAAATAAATACATTCATTCAGTCTGGACTTTGTATAGATTTCAAAACTCAGTTTAACCTTGTAGCCTGTATTCAAAATATTGTAAAGCACATTTAGTGAAGCAGAAGAGAAGGACTGTGCATTTCACTTTTGCTTTCATTTTACTGCTAGATTTTGTCTTTGAGCATGAATAAAATTAATTTAAAAAATGTGTGAAAAGTCAGAAATTGCTTTCAGTGTTTAACTTGGTATTATTTAATATTTTATTTAATTATTTATTTTCCTTTCTCCTGTTTTCATGTTGGTTGTTATTTAATCAGACTATAGTTTTATAATAGATGTCTTGTTCCTTTTTCTCAAACTGGAGCAATAAAAAGAATATAATTTGACCTCATTAAAAGTATTTTATTTCAAACTTTGCTTTAACTCTAATTACAATTACACAAAGTGAGAGAGAGAGAGAGAGAGAGAGAGAGAGAGAGAGAGAGAGAGAGAGAGAGAGAGAGAGAGAGAGGCTCATTGTCAATTCATAAATCAGACGCAATACATCACTTTTCGGTCTCTGCGCAATCTAGTCTCTGCGCATGCGCGATTTCCATAAGCACGGCGCCGCTGCTGTCCTGTCTTTACACACACACACAGCCTACCGGAATCAATACACACACCAGAGCGCCCAATATGAGCTTCTTAACTGAAGAAAGAGGAAACCCCAACACTTTGAGCTATAGGCTATACTTCAGTGAGTATGAATTCTGTTCTTAAGTGATGGATTTGAAGTAGTTTGTACGATCGCGACAGTGATTATTGAATTAAGATGAAAGGGGCTGGGCCTCAAGTCCCACGTGTCGCTTTTTCTCGCGTCATTTATGATCTAAAATTTACTCGAGAAGCAGTAAATGCTTATATTTTACGATATTAAGCCGATTATCCGTACAGAATGGCTATTTTAACGTGTAGTTACTGATGTATTTATGGTTTTAGTGAAAGCGTACTATAACCTGTTATACCGGTTACAAATTAAGAACAGAAAGTCCTAAATGAACTACAAAGTATTTTGATTACCAAACAGAAGGCATTTCAATCTCGTTATATTGGTGTTTTTACTGTGTAACTCCAGATATAAATGCAATGCAGGACTGGCTCGTTGCATCATTCAGTTGCTTTCTCAAATTAGCATATAAAGATCTAGTGCTGTTATTTTCTTCTGCAGTCTAAAATAACCCTTAAATCAAAATCTAAATATAGTAAAGCAGATATACTAGGTGATTATTCTCAGAATAGGGTATGCTTTGTTTATTTTAGCTGCCAGGTTTCTGCAGCAGACGTCTCACCCTTAGCAGCAGCATGACACCACCTTCAAAAATGAGTAAAATGATTAGTGATTCATATTAATTGCTCGAGATTATCATTAACACACTTGTGCAAGGCAAGTTTATTTATATAGCACATTTCATACACAATGGCAATTCAAAGTGCTTTACATGCACAAGAATAAAAGAAATGATTAAATAAAAATCATTAAAACTGATAAAACAGATTAAAATGTGTTAAAACAGGTTATAAAAGAATGAAAAAGAAAAGAAAGACATAATCTTGCGATCTATCGGACGTAGCACTGCTCATTCAGTAAAGGCAGTTTAAAGAAATAATTTATTCAAACATTATTTAAACTTTCATTCTTAAATAAAACGATACAAATAGCATAAACAGTGATGTAAGGGTTTTTTTTTTTTTTTTTTGATGTTGTAGGATCTTTAATGATTCATTTCTTGTACATGCATTCAAAACAATCGGTTTTTGACTTTATGATAACAACATATTAGGCATGAGACAATAACCCTTTTCAAGGTATACCACGGTTTGGAAAAGTCTAGGTTTTAAGACTGCCAAAATTTTCAATAATACCATTCTTTGGGAATGTGTAATTAGAGTAGATTTTTTTTCTTTTGTTTTTTTTTTTGTTTTTCAGGACAGCAGTATCTCAAGCCGAAAAGATATCCTAAGATGCTGTTTTAAATTGTTAAGAAATCTGTGTCTTTGTAACAAGTGAAGACAGCAGAAGTTAATGATTCACTTGAAAATCTTTCAAAAAATTAAATATATTGTTTTTAAAGGGAATAAAAGTTGTAGTTTTTTACCCAGACATTTAAAAAAAGAATATATTTTAGAGAAGTAATCACAATGCCATGAAACCGTGATAATTAATTCAAGGTTATCATACCAACAGAATCCTTTACCGGCCCATGCCTACAACTGTTACTAAAGTACCTTACAGAAATGCTACTTTATATGATCACATAAATATATTCATTTACAAAGCCTTGAAAATGAGAAATATATTATGTTATTCAAACCCTTTTCTGGTTTTGACAGAGAACTCAGATGGAAAATATCTTTCACCATTCCATGACATCCCTATGTTTGCAGATGAAGCTCAGGTACAGTATGGTCATTTATTATGTTATCAGATTTTCTCCTCAGGGTCACAGTGTTGACGCCCCCTCCCTTGTGGGACCCCTTTGGCAATGAACGGTCATTTCGCAATCCGGTACAGCCCAGTGTATATTAGCTCTTTATCGGGTGAACGGACTTAGTCTGGGAGAGAAATGATCTTTACCCTGCAACAGTGTCATCTTACATTGTTCAATACTTTGGACTGCTTTGATATCTGGCTTGTGACATGTGTGAAACTTTGATTAATTGCTCTCACAGCATTTAGGTTGCTTTTAGTAATGAAAACCTTAGAGTTCTATAATAGGAATGCCACATTTAGCCTTGACGTTTTCTTTTATTTAATTTCTCATTTTTATTTTCTTTGTAGAACATTTTCCACATGGTTGTTGAAGTGCCAAGATGGACAAATGCAAAAATGGAGGTATGAACAGCACTGAAAGTACAATGCAAAACCACTCCACTTGCATTATAACAAAATAAAACAATTGAATAGAGGACTTTGTGACCATGCAAGGTCATATATATTTACACACCTAAAACAAGAATGGTTACAGTAAATGTACTGGGATTAAGGGGTGTTAAAAATAAATGACATTTAACCTTTATTTTTTGGTGTGGGTGTGTGTTTTGAAATGCAAACAAAGTAAGGAGTCATCAGCCAGTCTACATGTATTCTTTTATTCTGTAAGTCAGCATTATGATTTGCTTCATAGATTGCAACAAAAGACCCCCTGAACCCAATTAAGCAAGATGTCAAGAAGGGCAATTTGCGCTATGTGGCCAATGTTTTCCCCCATAAAGGCTATATTTGGAATTATGGAGCAATTCCTCAGGTAAGGCTTTTATTTAAACATTGATCATACATTAAACACAGTATAAGACAGTATAATACAGTGCAATACATAAGCATTAAAAGGCATGGTAACTTTTAGTTTAAATACTAATTCTCACTATGAACTAGTGGCTTATGTTGGCTGGTTATTAGTACCTATAAAGTACATATTCTGCATGATTTTATTGTCCATCCCTAATCCTACCTAATATCTAAACCCAACTACTACCGCTACTAAAGGGTCACGAAACACCAAAACACATTTTTTGAGATGTTGCCAGTCATATATGTGTCCCACGTTACTAAAAACACTATTAGGGTACATGTATTTAACAAAAAAGTGAAAATTGGTTGTTTTTGCGTTATTTCGAGCAAATTCGTTCTTACAGTTTGAAAATTAATTTTGAAGCTACGTCACGGCCATGAGATCCTTGTGTAAATTCCAGTGTGTAGACTGCTTTCAGCATTAATTCATTTTAAAGACATTGTTTGAACCAATTAGCGCACTCGATTGTGAATGAGGCAACTTCATTAATATGCATGATATAGCTTTGAAGACCTGTTTTTACCTCTTAAAGTGTTCTGACAGCAGAGACGCCACGTTGCGTTGTCAAACATAATTAAAGCAATTGGAAGATTAAGAATTGTTTGGAGACATGGGTCGTCAGTGTTGTATTTAAAAATGTGCTGCAACAAAGTTTTTTTTTTCCAATTCACCGCTATGAGAGCGCAGCTGGGCACGCATGTGGATTACAATTGTCTGCTAACACGTGACAAAAATATGTTTGTAAGGAAAAAAAAACTTTATCCGAGAGCTTTTCGCATCTGGAAATTGTGAAATCTGGATTTGCCACTCGTCTCCTTTTAAAAAAATATGTGGTTTCAGTTTGTATTAATTGTCCTGTCTTTACAGATTTGGTAAGTGTGCGATCAATGTGCTTTGTTTGTTTATTCAGATGGCATAGTTGGTTCATGTCGTCAGTAGTACTCTTTCAGTTTTTAAAGTCATACCTTAGTCTAAATGATTGTTCCAAAGTTTACGTTACGTTACAGTACGTTAAAATCACTACAATATTATGGACTGAAAGATCCACTGTAAATGCTGCTCTCAGTATGTAAACATGTAAACACCTTAATGAAACTATTATCGTTGTGTAGGATTTTCACCACGTATAATTTTCGCCGCATTTTGTGACAGGATAGTTTATACACACATGGCTGTGTTTCTACCGTAAAATGCAAAGGATTTTGTTCCCTCACACACTGCGTGCATTATCAAATTCCATTAAAACTACACTCTTCTGGTAGTTCCTCACATCCAAAATCTCGTTTGTCATGGGGGGCGTGCATGAAATGTTTCTGATTGAAAGTAAAAGTGCCAAACTGCAGTTTAAGTTGACAAATTAACAAAGAAACTACATGAAACTCCAAAGAAAATGTGGATAGCACAGTGTCTAATTATGTGCAATAACATGTAAAATGGGATCATGAAAGAAATATTTAAAACGCAACTTATGTACACTTTAATCATATTATTGTCTCATTCACATTAAGGCAAATTATTCCCTTACTGTTGTCCATGTAAATGTAGTCAATGTTTGTCCCTCCTGCATGTGTGTTGCCGGTGTGAAAATCAGCCGTAGTTCATTTAATGAAACTCTCCTTTCGTGAAAACCCTTCCCTCTTTTACCACTTGACACTCCCCCCTAAACAAAGCTGGACTTAACCACTTTCCTGACTTCTTTCAGACTAGAGGTGTGAAAATAACCTGCTTAGATGGGGTTTTGTGGCCCTTTAATAACTATTAATAATCAGCAAATTAGGAGTTTATTGGAGACACTGCTTACTGCAGAGCCACTTAAACTCCAGCGAGAGGGAGCTTGAGCTCCAACTCCTCCTATAAGCTGTTTTAATGCCTATGATTTACCCCACCCTTAACACCAAGCCCCAGTGACATCACTTGTAGAAGAAGTGCAAGGATGAAGGAGCTGGAGCTCAAGCTCCCCTTGCTGGAGCTCAGCTCCGCCCAAGTGGCTCAGCAGTGAGTACCACTTGGTTTATTGAGGCAAAATCATAGTTAATGGCTTATTAATAGCAAGAATTCTTCTTTAAAATAACCAAATGTGTGACAAAATGATACTATAAGTTTGAACTGGGATATAGCTGTTTTTATCTGACTACACGAGATCATGGATTACAGTAATCTTTTCTTGAGTTATACAGGCCTTTATGGTCACTTCTGATCAATTGAATGACTAAGTAAAAATGCCTTAAGTTTTAAATCATAATAATGTACTGTATATCTATTATTTCTTATTGACCACAAATTAAAACTGATCCTTTTAGTACTTGATGGCTTATTTAGTATGGCTTATCAGATTGTAAATACTGCTGTATCTACCTGCAATTTATTCTGTCATTGCTTGTCATTGATGATGCTAGAGAAAGTTTAGCATTATTAATTGAATTGCTTTTCTTGTAGACATTAATAATGCCATTGTGCCAAGAACTTTGACCAAATCTTTTCTGACAGACTTGGGAAGACCCCGGGCACAAAGACAATGACACGGGTTGCTGTGGTGACAATGACCCAATTGATGTCTGTGAAATCGGCAGCAAGGTATTAATATTGGTGTTTGGCTTTTTAAAGTAATCTCTGAAATCACATTTTTTGGATTACACAAACAAATACCTAAATGTGTCCACATTTCAGGTGTGTAGTCGCGGAGATGTCATCAAAGTAAAAGTCCTGGGTGTTTTAGCAATGATTGATGAAGGTGAAACTGACTGGAAAGTTATTGCAATCAACGTTGATGACCCTGAGGCAAAGGACTTGAACAGTAAATAACACTCGCACTTTCCAATTGACTTAAAAGAGAGAGAAGGATATGTGATTGTTTGCATTTCTCTGATCTGAAATATAGACATTAGCGACGTGAGGCGACACAAGCCAGGCTACCTCGAGGCAACAGTCGACTGGTTTAGGCGATACAAAGTACCTGATGGAAAACCTGAGAACCAGTTTGCATTCAACGGAGAGTTCAAAGACAAGGTATATTTGTTCGGAAATGTTGTAAACAAGTTTTAATTCATGCCTAAAGTATAATTCATTTTATAAGTCATTCAAAGGCTGCACTTACACTGCATACTTCAAGTGACCCAATTTAGTTTCTTTTCCCCATGTGGCACACATCGGATATGGCCCGTGTACATGTAAGCAGGAAAAACATTACATGGATTCTAATTTTCTCAAATCGGTTTCAGGCCTTGTTCATGATTGGAAATTAATTAATGAGAGTCATGCATCAATAAAAACCGCTGCGAATGACGTCAACTCTGATGCTTTCATTTCACAACAGACAACAGCAGAGTTCCAAACCTTAAATCTCATATACTTCCTAATCTGCAATTGCCTCTCTTGATATACCACTAACTGTACTCAAAAAAAAAAAATATATATATATATACATTACTTATGCTTTCCTTCTTAGAGTTTACAGAGCTGAAACTTGCCTATAGCATTTATTCATTGTTGCTCTTAGTTGTGTAAATTGCTTCCTTGTCCTCATTTGTAAGTCGCTTTGGACAAAAGCGTCTGCTAAATGACTAAATATAAATTTAAATATACTAGGACAAAAAAAAAGCTTTCATATTTTCATGTAGCACAAGTTTTAACCATGTTAATGAGAGAGAGGGAAAGAGTGCAACATCCGCCATGTAAACGATATGAACTAATGTAAAACTATTGTATACATCACATGCATAAATCATGCCATGGACATTACATTAAAATGCCTACTATAGCAAAACAAATTGTAAAAAAGGATAACAAATTAAATCCTGTGAACAGATTAAATGTAGGAATGGAGAAAAGAGTGCTTTTATAATCAGTACTCACCCTTTTTTTCCTGGTTATTTTGTAATTTTATTTTCCTGGATTTTGCTGTTTGCAGTATAAATGCAGACATCAGATACGAGTTACTTTTAAAAGATGGTGTTAACGGATCATCAAAAAAATCTGATACAGTCACAAAATCGGAATTGACCATTAAGTTCTGCAGTGTAAATGCAGCCAAAGTGTATTCCAACTGACAAACACAGGAGTTTAAGAGGCTCATTCTTATCCGATGTTTGGACTATTTTTTCTATACAGCAGTTTTCTGTCTAACCGCATTAAAAATGTCTTTATACTAATTTAATATAGGCCCAATCCCAATTTTATTTTTGTATATTAAATCATATGTTTGGTCGGCGCCAGTGGTGTAATGGTCAGTGCATCGACAACTGCACTCCGTTGCTCATGACGACTCGAGTTTGATTCCCACCTCGCGGTCATATGCCGATCCTTCCCCTCTCTCTGCTCCCCATGCTTTCCTGTCAATAATCTATACTGTCCTATACATTAAAAGGTGAAAACCGCGAAAACATAATTACAAAAAGACATGTTTGTTTGTTGTAAATATTCAAAATAATGACAAAAATACTCATTTGTGGATCCCCTTACTTCCGGGTGCTGCTATCCTGCTGTTGTGGCTGGTGTATTCTAGGAAATTTGGTTTTGAGTGTGGTTCTGAAAAATCTTTGTTCGAAGGGCTATTTGTCCCTTCCCCTTAGCCCTACGCTTTCAAACTAAAGAGAATTAGTAAGAGGAAGGGCTAAGAGGTAGAATTGGGATTGGACCATAGTCACAATTAACTTTGTCCCCTCAGACACGCAGTTTTCAATGCAGATGCTTGTTGTTTTTATTGTTTTCAGTCTTTTTTCTATCTGCTCTGTTCTGTTAAAGTGCTTTAAAATGCATATGTATATAATAGTCAACGTCCAGAGTGGATCAAAAAAGATTTTCGAAATTGTCCTAAGACACAAACAGGCATTGTACAATGGACCCTTTTCATAAGACCTGCATTGAATGCATTTAGCGGTTATATTCTTAAATCCTCTATAAAGTTTTTAGTATTTAGATTAAAAAAAACATGTACATTTTATATATATTTATGTATGTATTATATCATCTTTGCATAAAACTACAAAAAGATGAATTACCGCTTGTGTGAGGCATTTGTTATACATAGTGTATGGGCAGGACAGTAAATTTGACATTGTTCCCTCTTCTGACTGCTATTATCAGTCTAACACATTTTTTTTTTTTCTGAAAGTCTTGATAACACCATCATGGAGTTTTTCTTTTATTTCATCAAATGGGATTGTTAAAAAATATATATATTGTTCTCTCCCATTCACTGAGCTCTTAAGTTTACACAACTATGATGACTTCTGCTATTGAGAAACCCGGAAATGTAAAAAGGGTTCATAGTTTTAGGAACATTTTGAAACAAATGTGGCTGTGCACATAGAGCACTGCTCATAGTCTTACATTTATTGCATGCGCTATATTGACCTTATTCTCCGCAGTCAAGCGGGCGCTGCCATTTGAATCTTTTTGGCACGAGACTTCCTGTCTCATTCACTTCCATTAATTTTTAGACATTAAAAACTGCTCGTTTCGCTGTTTGATTTTGCAAACTGATATTTTCTTGTTATATTATTCTACTTGGTCTGTATAGTCATGCAAACATTTGTTTGTAGAGCAAGTAGTGTGACCGTTTTTTGCTGTTTATTATTCCTTGTCATTTCTCCCATAGGCGACTGAAACGGAAGTTCTAAGACAATCGCGAAAACAGGCGCACTTCTGCATTTTAGAATAAGGTCAATAGCTTAAAATCTAATATAGCTTTTACAGCAGTGTAAATATGCTACATTTATTCCAGGACTTTGCAATTGAGACAATCAAAGCCACCCATGGCTTCTGGAAGGCACTTCTCTCACAACAAACCAATGCTGGTGAATTAAACTGGTGAGGGAATGTTTATTCAGCACCTGCATTTATTTTTTGATATTTTATTTCAGCTATTGTTCATGCTTTCAAGCACTAGATAACCATGTAGACATGACTGAAATATACAGTCATTTTGGGATTTGTCGAATACTTCTCACCTTATTTGTATTGCTCTTTCCTCTTTCTATGTGCAGCAAGAACACCTGCGTCTCAGAGGGTAATAGTCCATTCTGCTGTTCAGCCGATGAAGCCAAAGCAGTTGTTGATGGAGTAAGAACTTCCTTTTTTATTTTCAGTCATTTCTGTTTACAGGTGTATTGCTTATATAGTGGTACAATTGCATCAAGCATGACTGCTAATGTATTTTTTATTTTCATTTTCAGTCATGCGCTTGCGGAGATGCCAGTCCAATTCCAACCTCAGGTTTTACAGTCTTTTTATGATGCATCATTTTTTGAAGTTTATACATTTGTACTGTTGAGCATCCATTCAATTTAAATTGACAACCCAATTCTCTGCTATCTTTTTCTTTTTCAGTTGACAAGTGGTTCTATTATGCGAAGAACTAAAGAAGACAACACTGCGAAAGGACCAGTCTGATCATGAGACTATTAGGATATGTATGTCAGGAACTGTTGAGTATAATGGATATTTTAGAGAAAAACAGGGGCACTTCACTTCTTATTTGAGAGCTGAGTCTCGTATTAGAGCAACAGTTGTAGGAGCTAACCAGCGTCTCGTTAAGTTGTTTTTGATAATGGTTAGAGATTCTTTGTAACATTTACTAATGTTAGTTAACAGTCTGGTGGCACTCAGGTACTGTACAATTCTGAACAAATGCTTTAATAAAGCTATTCTCATATGACACTGCTGTTTTCTCATATGGTTTTATTTTCAGTTTTACACAAATATTAAGGTCATGGTGGTGCAGTGGGTAGCACGATCGCCTTACAGCAAGAAGATCGCTGGTTCGATCTTTGGCTGGGTCCAGTTGGCATTTCTGTGTGGAGTTTGCATGTTCTCCCCGTGTTTACGTGTGCTCCGGTTTTCCCCACAAGTCCAAAGACATGTGGTACAGGTAAATTAAGTAAGCTAAAATTGTTCATAGTGTATCTGTGTGAATGAGAGCGCATGGATGTTCCCAGTGATGGGTTGCAGCTGGAAGGGCATCCGCTGCGTAAAACATATGCTGGATAATTGCGATGTGGTGATTCCAGATTAATAAACGGACTAAGCCCAAAACAAAATGAATGAATGAACTGATGGAAAACAATCAATAATCCAAGGTGTGAGCAAGAAGTACAGGTCCTGCATCTGAAACGCATCAGCAATATACTTTAAAAAGGACTATTTATGCATTCAAGAAAGCCCTAAAAATCAACATAGATCCTGATTCTTTGCTAGCCCTCTTTGGATTATCCCTTGGACCTGATTTTACAGTCTGTGACAGCAAGGTTGTTGCCTTTACCACAATTTTAGCCAGATGTGCCATACTTTTAAAGTGCAAACACACTTTCCCCCTACACATAAGTGGATACAGGACTTTTTTTCTGTATCTTAAAAAGCTAATATGCCCTCACTCCAGCTCAATAGATTAATTTTATAATTACTTTCAGGAAGTTTTTATTATTATTATTTCCCCTCATCTGTATCCAGTTATTCTCTAATGTAATGTACTTGTGTATTTAGTGTACTTAATTAGGTATTTATGTATTTTTATTTTTGTTTTGTTAATTAACATAGAGAGTGAGGGGTTATGGGATGGATTAACAATAACAATATATTACTGCTTGCCTCTCTTTATATTTATTTGAATTGTCATACAAAAGACCAATAAAAACATTGGAATTAAAAGGACAAACTCATTTTGTCCAAATCCAGACTTTATTTGATCTGTGCAATGACGACTGTAGACTTTCACTGCGTTTTTTTTTTTTTTTTTTTTTTTTCACACAATAAAAATGAATGGGTCTGTTTTTCATATTAGTTATTGATATAGGTATGGGATAAATCAAATAATTAAACAATTCTTCTCACTTGTGTGTTGTCTTTATTAAAACACAGTATGGTATTTATTTTTTTTACAGTCAAGCAACTTTCCACTACAAAGGCACATTGATGAAAAGTGACTGAAAACAATAGTTACAGAAGTATCCTGATCGTGTTAGAGTCGATTTTAAACTACAAATCAGTATTGAAATAACTTCTGAAATATATTGTTAAACTAGTATATAGAGCAACTACATTAGGCTATATAGATTCAATATATAGCTTAAACACAAAACAGTATAATTTAGCATTAAAATGAATTATTTGTAAATATATTTTATTATATAAATTACATCATTACAAAATATTTCAAAACATTACTGGAGCATTTTCATCGTTTTAATGTAAAGCCAGCTTATCAGACGTCAGTGAGCAGTTTTAGCAAGCAGATGCAAACAAATTAACCTACAATTGATGTGAGACCACCCATTGCAGCTACGCAGTTCCGGTGAAACGTCAAATTCGGGCTGCTGTTTTTAACAGCTGAACACAGACCGGACTGACAGGTCTACAACACAAGCGGAGCCTTTCAGGTAATGACACATTTGCCAGCCGTACCGCATTGTGTTCTGTGTTATTTACAAATGACGCAACATTACAAACGACGCAGCTGATAATATATAAATATATCAACATTCCGTGACTGGATATATTGTACAACGCACATTTTCAGCTCTATAATCAAGCTTTTCAGGTTTTACATTCACGACAGAATGAACATTACCTTCACAACAGTCTGCTTTGCTCATTCAACTTTTGACCAGCGTCTCTGCTGTAGTTTTGAATGTGTTTTAAAGCCTTGACTGTGTTGACGTGTTTCTAGAAAACGCAAATACTGCGATGGTTATAGTAACGCTTCAGTTAGGAAGCAGTGCTTCATGTTTGTATTGTTATTTAACAATACAAAGCACGTTATTAATGTATAGAAATGCACTCGGAGTGGAGGGCGAGTTTTTCTGTCATTTGAGTGACAGCAATGTCTGTGTGCTCTCTATCCATGGCGTCAAGTGACAAGGTTTCACAACTAGAAATAGTTTCTTGCTCATGTTGTGTGCTGGATATTGGTTAATTTTCGAGGATTCGTGTTTCTTCTCTCTGTCCTAAAGACAAAACATGAACATTTTGGTCGTTTTGTAACGCAGTGTTTTGCCTGCTTACGATAGATTTAGGTAAAGAGCTTATATTGGAGTTAGCTGAGTCTCCTGAATCTTGCCATTTTTCATTCAAAACAATTCTCTCATTCTTATTGCTTTTTCAGGGAGCTAGCTGCAAAAATGTCCTTCATATTTGATTGGCTGTACAGAGGGTTCAGCAATGTGTTACAATTATTAGGTAAAGTATCAGAAGGTTATTTAAAAGCTGGAGAGCAAATCATAATGTAACATTTTTTATTTGTGCTTTCATATGTGTTTTCCTTTAGGACTCTATAAAAAGTCTGGGAAATTAGTTTTTCTTGGATTAGACAATGCAGGAAAGACGACATTACTGCACATGCTCAAAGATGATCGACTTGGGCAGCATGTTCCAACACTTCACCCCAGTAAGTAAAGGGAAACATATATGACTGTTTTAATATAAAGTGTACACTAGGCATGGGACCATTACCGTTTTAAGGTATACCGCAGTTTGGAAAAGTCAAGGTTTTAAAAAAAAAAAAAAAGTCAACATTTTCTTCAATATCATTCCTAATGTATGTGTAGGTTTTTTATTTACTTTTTTTGTTTTGTTTTTTTAGGACAACAGTATCTCCAGCAGAAAAGATGCTGTTTTAAATTGTTTAACAAATCAGTTTTTGGAACAAATGAAGACTTCAGAAGTCAATGATTCATTTAGCCAGACAAGTTTACTGTTCCAAAATAGGATAAAGGTTTCTTAAAATAAAATTTATTGTGTTCAAATGGGAAAAAAGTTATATTTTTTTTAATCCAGACGTTTAAAAAGAATATATTTTGAAACAGTAATCAAAATACTACAAAACAGTGATATTTTTATCCGAGGTTATCATACCATCAGAATCTTATACCGGCCCATGTCTAGTATACATTTAGAGATTAAAATACAACAACAGGATGAACTCTATATTAACCATGTTTTATCCTGTCTGATAGCATCTGAAGAACTGAGTATTGCTGGGATGACTTTCACTACATTCGACCTGGGTGGTCATGCTCAAGGTAAATGTAGAATTTATTAATAAATGATTTATGAGTCGAGAATTAACTAATAAAATTTAACAATAGCTGTATTTTATTTTATACAGCTCGCTGGTCTCTTTGACTGGAAAAAAATTGTTTTAAAAAATGTTTAATCTATCACAGTGGAACTGGAGTCTTGCTGAATAAATGGTTTAAGGGTTAGTTCAACCAAAAAATGTAAATTATTTAAATTATGCCATGATTCACTCACCCTCAAAGCATCCTATTTGTATATGAAATTGTTAAATCCAATCTGAGTTACTTTAAAAATTATCTTGAGCAGTTACACCTCTTTAATAACAACTGTCCACAGATATTTTTAAAATAATCAATCCAAAAGAAATCCCCTGAAGTGCATCCATCCCTAATAAAGTGTCATACATGGGTTTGGGGTGTAAATAAAGGTCTCCTTTAGCAACTCCCTTAATTTTTCAAAGTAAAACATTCATATGTAAAACTTTATGAACTGTTTTGTGTAACTTCTGGCAAGCAACCTCCAATAGTTGTGTTTTACTTCTTTTTGAGGTGCATTTTAATGCATTATTGTCATCAGTTTAACAGGACATGCTTTTTTCAATGGCTGCATTTGAAAGTTTAATAAAATTTTGAGGGCAGCATAGATGTGTCTTTAACTGCATTTGATATCCCACAATCCAGTGCATTCCATGTCTGACAAGTGTCATAATAATAATTGTTAATTTGCGTGTCAATTTGTTTGTAAATGTATATTTTTTAACCAGAGAAGTTAGTACTGTAGTAAGCAAATATTGCCTTAGTCATCTCTTAGTTTTTAGCCTTAGTTTTTTTTTTGTACATGATTAAATTATTATGCTGTCTCAGAAGTCTGTCTGAGATCAGTTTTATGAGGTGTCCTCATGTAAAAACTCTACATCTAGAGTCACTGCCTGATAGAGCACTGAGGCAACAAGCCAATTGCCTAAGCTTTCAGATGCAGCCTATCTCTTGTGTGTAAAGTGTGTGTGTGTGTGTGCAGTTGAAACTAAGAAAGACAGACATAACGCAGTATCAACTCGTAAAAATGTTTCACAATAAGCTGTTTGATAATTGATTATATAAACGTGAGGGTGTTATAAAAGCCAGGTGTTTTCCTTTAAAAGGGACCAAAACTAACTTGTGTGTGTTTTTGAAATTTATATATAAAATTTATGCCAATTTAAGTCAAGAATTACATTTTAAGGACACTGTGTCCTAACAACACGTGTAATGCAAAAAAATATATATCTTCCATGTTAAAAGGAGGTTTTGTCCTAAAGATTTGCAACATTGATGCACAAAGTTTCTATTTTCAGAAATGCTTTATTATAATGCTCTATTACCGCAACATTGCGGCAAAACAACAGCTTATACTACTATGACAAAGATCACCTCAGGTACTGATTATGTGCTTTATTCTACATAAACTACATAAAACTAAACCTCTTAAAATTAACCTAGATGTCTCTGTCATAGAATTTCAGGCCAAACTAAAGAACTTGGGGGTAATATTTGACAAAAAAGTAACGTTTAACCCCTTCATTCTTTCATCTCAAAAATATTTCAAGAATCCACCCCATGCTGTCCTTTTCTGTGGCAGAAAAACTGATCAGTACTTTTCTTTTTTCC